CATAAGACGGTTGAAGGTCCGCTCTATTTGCTCTGGCGACATAGGACACATGCTGGTCAGCAGCTGAGTATCACACCGTTGAGCCTCACGCAGTAGTTCAGAGATGTGACCATTCTCCCACATATCCATCCGTCTTGTGAGGAGTGGCCGGATGTCCTTTCCTTTGCGAATAGACTTGTTACGTTGCAGAACGGAGAATCGGAGAATCTTGTCAGGGGATGGCTCCATCGGTGACTCGGTAGTGTTAATCAGATCGGCCAAGAGAGACGCCAAGGCATCTTCTCGACGTCATCAGAAACTGGAATTCGACGCGATATCGGGCAGTGCGTCGGAGTCGCTACGACATGTCATAGAAGTCGCGAAGGAGAAAGGGTCGTCGAGCTGGCTGACGTGCCGTCCACTTAAGAAATATCATTTTAATTTAACAAAGGGAGAGTTTTGGGACGGACTCTGCCTCCGTTACGGATGGACACCGGCCAGGGTACCGTCACACTGCTCTTGCGGCCAAGAGGCAACTGTCGCGCATTCCCTGTCGTGCCCCTATGGAGGGTTTCCCTCCATTAGACACAATGGTATTCGGGACGTCACGGCCCGGCTGCTGGACGAGGTGTGCACCAGTGTGTCCATCGAGCCCTTGCTGCAACCGCTGACGGGGGAGCGTCTTCGCTACCGGACCGCAAATGTGGAAGACCGTGCCCGGTTGGATGTCGCTGCCAATGGTTTGTGGGGCAGTCGTTTTGAGCGTACACTTATTGATATACGGGTTTTTAATCCTCACTCACGCTCAAATCGATCTGCACCACATACTATTGTGTATCAGCGACATGAAAAAGAAAAGAGAAGGCACTATGAGGAGCGGGTGAGGCAGGTTGAGCAAGCCTCCTTTGTTCCGGCGGTCATGTCAGCCAGTGGCGGAATGGGTCCGGCATCAACAGCACTGTACAAACGAATTGCTCATCTGTTGGCGGAGAAGAGGGGTGAGCACTACTCTCATGTTATGGCATTTGTTAGATGCAGGATTTCCTTCAGCCTTCTGAAATCCTGTATCATGTGCATTCGCGGTTGTAGGCGTTTAAATTTTGGTTTGAAATTTGCACCCTCCTGCGGAGCCCACGCTGCTTTGGCAGTGGTGGAGGCTCGCTTGCCGACGTAACCGTCGGAGATCATCATGAACAATGGACTGACTAATTATTCACTTGTCCTGTCTTTATAAATAACATGTTATTGCATAATAAAAAAAAAAAAAAAGAAATAGTACATTGTGTACATCGTTTAAAAAAAAAAAAAAAAAAAAAAAAGAACGAGAGCAGTGAAAAGAAATTCACACTCTGAAGGTTGTTGGCTATTGTTGCATTTTTCTATTTCTCTGCGCCTTGATCCAAGAGGGTGGTGGCGTTCCTGCGGATGCGGAAAACTGGGCCTTTGGCCGAGTCTCACGCGAACCGTGAAATTTTTTTTTTTTTTTTTTTTCAGCTAAAATGTTGACGAAGCGTGTTCCGACCCCTCCGTCGGGCAGGCCATATTGCTTCCCATGCAAAGCTACAGCTTTCCACCACATTTGCCTGATTTCACAATCCGGACCACCGTCGGAGTTGACCAGTTCAGCACCAAACGCTCTCTGAAATTTTGCGCTCAGGAAGGCAGCATTGACTGCATCATTATCAAATTCAACTGTGGCCTCGGTGACGGCGGTGTCGTCGGAGCCCGGTTCGACCATAGGTTGGGCTTGCGACCCGGCAAGTTCCGTCAACAGCTGGACTTCAGAGTCAGAGGGTGACGCCGCGAGTTCACCTACAACACTTTGTAGCGGCGGATTAGCCCTCGGCCTCGGCGGGTCTCCAGCCGTTGAGACATTTTCCGCTGAGACAGTCTCCGCTGCGTCAGCTACGACAGCTGTTTGAATCGGTACGGTTCGGTTTGAGCATTTCTGCTTCCTGTCAGGAGTGCAATTAGTGCAGGAGCGACTTTCCTGTCGGCATGAGCAATTTGTTCGGCAGGTCCCATTCCCGGAGCAGGGGCAGCACCGGCGTCCTTTGGGACATGGACCCTTCTCACTACTCTTGTCAGCCATACAGGCAACACTCGCCACGACTACACTCGCATACAGCAAAGCAGTCAGCGCAGAACAGTCGAAGCAGAACCAGTCAGTCAGAGCTACAAAAACACTGTACATGTACATGTACACTACATGTACATGTACATGTAGTGTACATGTACATGTACACTACATGTACATGTACATGTAGTGTACATGTACATGCGTAAGGAATTGCAACACTCATTATTACGGAGGATTAGCAAGACGAAATTCGCGTTCGCGTTCGCAAACATTTTTCAGTTCGTGAACTGGATTGCATAAATTGGAATAATCCGCCTGTTCGCATCAAAATCCATACAGGTGTACATGTTCTACAAGTGTCAAATACAAGTAGATGCACCAGGAAGTCGTAGGTTTACGACTCCCTTGATAACATGTCCAGTCCACTACAATCAGTGACGGCAAGAGTACATAAACCTACTCTTGGTGACGGTCGTAGCTACACTGTACATGTAGGTCGGATGGTGCGTTGACCCCGTTGAACTTTTGCTACTACAGTACAACGCCCTCTACAAAACAATTCCCCTGTTATTTTGCACAGAACCATCATATACTGTACATTAGCAGCATATGTGAGCATAATCCGGCATAATATGATAACTTTTAGCATAAAAATAGCATAATTTTGCCATTTTTTAGCAATGCGAAAAGCATAATTTCACGAAAATATTAACATAATCCGTCAAGGCCTAACACGAATCACGAATCGCGGATTCGTGTCAGGGCAGTCATAAATTTACCACGCTGTACTGTCTGTACACAATGTACGTGGTGTCCACGTCATGCATGTGTGAATTCTGTTTGCTAATCCTTCTCATAACGCGAATTCCGTCACTGAGTTCGACTTTCCTTGGAGAGCGAACGCGAACGCGAATTTCGTCTTGCTAATCCTCCGTACTATCTATCTATGTTTCTTTCAAAGCCCGTCACGCCAACCACCTGAGCTCTATGCGTCATGAAAAATACACAAACAGCACTGAGCTCGCAAAACACGTACAATGTATGGGAGCTGAAGAGCGAGGGAAAGCCGTTGACCATTACATGGAAGGTGCGGGAGAAGAGCCGATCATACAGATGTGAGTCAAAAAAATGCAATCTACACGTATGTACCGCGGAAAAATTCCACATCCTGACTACACCCAAGAAGCTCCTACTCAACAAGCGGTCTGAGATGGTCTCGAAATGCAGGCACGAGAATAAGTTCCGCCTCGCAAATTTCACACCTATCAAATGAACTGACCAAGTACTGTACTGCACTTTGCCTGAGCACCCATTATTAACACAATCCCTTGGCCTGTTGTTGGTGATGCCACTCTGCTCACGCCTGCCCGCCACCAAACGACTCCCTACTTGTAGCGATCTTACTGGCCCATTGCCCGCCATCCTCCTAGGACCTCCACCCATCTGCTGTACACTGCCTCCCCATCACCTCTTTCCGCGCTTTCATGCTCACACCTGCCTGTTGCCCGCCCCCCTTCTGGCACTTCCACTTTCTCTCCTTGGCCCGCGCCAGCTTTCTCCCCATACCTCACACCAGATTTAGCGCTAAATTTGTTTATGCTTGTGCCCATATGTGTTTATAAGCATACTGTTGGGTAGACCCGAGTATCAGTTGTCTGATGATTGCCTAGCGGCATGAAACTCAGAGTTACAACCAACCTGAACGTCCTCCGCTGAGTCTGCTATGTACCTGTACATGTACATGTATACCTGTGCAATGGATGCAGTTTCCCGTTGATGGTATTAAATGGCAACTCCCCTGGCAATGGAGTTTAAATTCGCGAGTTCAAGGATGAAACTAGCCTGAAGAGGATGGATCATACCAGTCGAGAGTGTCGATAGATATAACCAGTCGTGAGTGGACGGATCAAACCAGTCGGGAGTGGACGGATAAAAAATTAATAATTATCGTTGCAGACTCACACCCATAGTGAAAGAGATGCAGCTGTATTGCGACTCTACGTTTCCCATTACTAGCATTAGGTCACAACCATCTTCAGGCAGATGAAGTAATGTACATGTAGATACAATTCTGTAGGTTGTGCGTAGGGCATACATGTATAACAAGAGGATAAGTTAGTGGCTACTGCTAATCCTGGCCTGGCTGAGGCTGGCTTATGCTTCCTGCAAGAACACACACTGTACACTGCGGAGAGTTCCACTGACTTGAATGTTGGACATCGGCACTCCAGGCGCTAGTGGAAATCCCCGTGCTCCCGCGTAGCGGCATGGTGTCAATGATTCGATCCAGTCCATGATCAGATCAGGAATGATTCTCCAAACATGTTTGAAACTCGCCCAAGAATCTTGAAGCAAAAGAAGACCCGGTATCTCAAGATATTTCCCCGCCATGCTTGGTGATTTGCTCGCGTGCTCCAACACACGTTCAACACCATTGCAGGGTTATTCCCCGAGGGGCGGTAATTATGACATCATTGACATTGGGATCTTCCCGAATGCCCATGCTGACCGATTGACATCAAGGCATTCAAATCTGAAACGTCAGCAGAAAAGACTGTAGCCCGAGTTAGCACAAGTTGACTCTACTCGTACGCCAACATCTTGATCGTTCTCGGATTTTTTTCAGCGTCCGTTGCTCTCCCGCTCATGTGACAGAGATTTAGTCCTAGATTCAAGAATCGACTGTCTGATTCTGAGACAGGTGGACAGATTCGTGGCGTAATCTATGCCATCGAACATTAGCTTGGAGTTATCGCGCATGATACCAGCACGTGCACTTGTGCGATCGCGCGAAAAAAAAGGCCAACGCAACGATATGCGGAAAAGCAGGCGTGTGTGTGTGCTGTGTCAGCCAGACCAGGGCTGGCGCGCAGGCTAGGGAGTAGGGTGGAGTGCCTGATGATTTTTTGTTACTTGAATGGCTGCACTAGTACTAGTAGTACAGTCATGTATAATGCATAGCGCTAGTGTATCATCCTTTGCTGACGCTATCTCTCATGTTTGGTTAGGGAAATAAAATCAAGGATGCTCTCAAGTCCATAAGTCCAGTGTTTTCTTTCGTTCTGATCCTGTGCAACCGATGTCTTACATGGCAGCGTGGCTCGTATTCCTTGTCCCTACATGAGGTCTACTCAGGGTATCGTGTACGAACTGCTGGGCACGCGCGGAACTATTTTCTAACTATATTTCGGAGGGCCGCACTAGGAAAAAGATTGTTTGATTCAGGCGGTTGAGTTCAAGTTCGTAATCGTAGCAAATCACGGTACAACCAGCCCTGACGATATCGCCGAAGTAGACGCCTTTCGTTTCCCTGTGGGACGATGTGCGAATAAATGAAGGCTGTGACGCTGGGCACGCTGATTCAAGCCACCAAGGTCCCTGGAGTAACACGCTTAGCTGACGGTTGCAGACCACGTGGTGGTGCCGTTTTGGCCCCGTTTATTCCTAGCTTTGACGCTGCCAGTGATCCAATCGATGGCAACGAACGGTAGTGGACAGGATCAGTCAGACGGTGTTGCTATGTCGCGAGCTGTTGTGGCGGGAATGCAGCCAGATAGTCCTAGGACTAGTAAGAGCTCCTGTTTTCACACTGCAAGCGGTCCCATTCCTTACCAGTCACCCATAGTTCTAGTCGACCAACTCGGCACTTGCAGGGTGTTGGCCTATGGTGATTCGCAAGGCAAGGAGCCGTGCAGTGTACACGCCGTCGCAGCTTATGGTAAGTGTGGGGATACTGGTGTTAGCCTGTCCTCTACATAGAGAAATATAGACCCCTACGTTTGGTAATGCTCTGCAAAGTCATTCCAATAACTTCCAGCGTGCATCTTCCACCATGGATTTGTTTACGTCAGTAAGGATAGACTGACAATTGTATCATAGTCCCAAACTGACGTAGCTGTACTCACATTTACTACATTTTGGTGAAATTGCTCCCAGGCACTTGGACATTTCTGGCTCATCAAGGGTCAGGCAATAACTGTAGTAAAGCATTTATACCAGGGCAATGGTTAACTGCGTGCCCAGAACTGAATATGCCATGGAAGCGGAAGAAAAATTTCCAGCCGTTCTGCGACCCGCAATTAATTGGAAATGCGTGGCCTGGCACGAGGGAAACATGGATGCAATTACTGGGATTTCGGTCTTAGACCAATTTGCAGTGGGTCTGATCTGCACACCTCCCACCGCTTTGGAGCTGCATCTGCGCCTTGATTCTAGATGGTGGTGGCGTTCTTACGGATGCGCAAAACTAGGCCTCAAGCCGGGTCTCGCTCGAACCGTGAATATTTTTTAAAGTGCCATAATCAAGTGCATGAGAAAACAATAGACGATCCTTTAGACGATCAGAAAACGTAGCAAACAATCGCTACCAGTTACAGCCTTCATACAGGTAGCAACGCAGTCCAGTAATGCAAGACGAAAGTAGTTGAAATCCAGATTTTGCACACTGTAGACAACGCACACCTGATCATTCTGCACACAACGATGCTACGAGCCGCGCCCGTCAAACGTACTGTTTGAAGTGTGGCGCGTATTTCCGAATGGCGCTAATTGATGTAAGGCCAAAAATTACGAAATCGAGGTTGCGACTTCGCCGATGATTTCGTTTAGGAATGGGTTTGCTCCCACACTGGAGCTCGCGCTATTCCGCCGACGACTTGACACTTGACACTTGACTGACTCACGACTGCCATCCAGAGAACACGAGAAGTCCATCGAACCTTTGACTCGGCAAACCTGCAAGAAAGCACCACTCCCTGCTCAATACACAGTGTTTCGGGGAATTCACCCCTCATTAGTTGAGCTTGAGTAGGCTGAGGAAGATTGTGCCTGAAGAGCACCACTTATATAGTGCTCTCCAGGCACAAACATCACACCTCGTGAACACCAGATAGCAGCGTGAGTCAGTGTCGCTCCTGGACGGTGAGAACAGACGTAGAGGATCCTCAGTGATTCACAACGCTGTCACCGCCAAACCAGCTAGTCGCATGCCCGCACTGGGCCCAACAGTACGAAATAGAGGTTGCGACTTCGGTGATGATTTTGTTTAGGAATGGGTTTGCTCCCACACCGGAGCTCGCGCTAGGAGGAGGGGAAATAAATAATAGTGAAGAACGAGGACAATGGGTTGATGGTCGTGAGAGAAGCAGAGTGAAAGATAACATCACATTGTGGTAAGGGAGGGGGTGGGGGGAGGGAGAATGCTAGTGAGGCGCTGGCCTAGACTGTTTCATAAGGCTTCGGTGGCTGCATGCCAGTTCAGGTGCAGCAGACACTTGTTGCATTTTTCCTTGAGGGACTGGAGCTGTCTGATTTGCGGCCTTGCTGGTGGAATCGTCGCTGGTAGGCTGTTCCACACAGGAATACTTCAGTCTGGGTAGGAACCCCGGAGGCTGCTACGAATGCGCACGGGCAGCGTCAACTTGAGCTGGAGCGGGTGGCAGTGGGCAGTTTCCATAGCTAACCTGGTGGTGATTCTGTTTCTCTCGATAATTTCCTCGTACGGACTGTTGCTCTTTTTTTGTGTTCTTCTAATGCAGATCAAACGCCTCACCTGCCTCAGTTCAAGGTCTTCTGCGAGCGCCGGGGACCGACTTCATTCCTCGCGATCCGCAAGATGCCGCCACAACATGGTACCAGTGTAGATGGTGATGGCGAAGGACCGAAGACGACTGACGATTTCTACTGGCTTCAGCTTGCCAGTGACGAGATGCGTAAGTTGAATTTGGAGTTCTCCACGGAGGACCCTTCGAAAATCTTTGAGGACGCTGGCGAGGCTAGGAGGGTTTGGATACCCTATTCACAAGCTATCGAAGATGAAGCTGTTCGTCGGATGGCGGACAAGGATACTGAGATCGAGAAGCTGCATTCATACAAGAAAAAGTACTATAACGACCAGGTATGTTATTGTACTCTCGAGTCCAAGGCCACCAATGAGAAGGTGATTGTCGACCTGAAGACTGGTGGCTTGCTGATCGAGGCAAACGGCACCACGCTTCCAGCCATCTTCTGCATACGGATCTCTTCATGAGGACAATTATATACCCGTAATTTGCTATCTACAATCGTTCTTGTAGAGGGGGTGTGCGTTTTGAGGTTGACCAACAAGTACTTATGATGTTCATCGTCTGAACAAATATGGTTTTGGACGTTGGGAAACATAACTGCTACGATTGACAGTTGAGCCTGTATAATGTACAAAGCGTTTTATGTTCTTGGCAGTGATTTCTGGTAAACTTTTGACGCTTAGGGCGGTATTGAATTATTATAAATCTCCCTCTTTCTTTTAAACCTAAATCCACAACCATTGCCATGTAGTGTGGGTGCCAAGAGTACCGCAATCATATTTCTCAAAGTAATTTCTTTCTTCCTGTTCATTGATAGTGGCATACATCGAAATGTTGAACTTGATGTCAAACGTATTTTTATCATTTTTGTTGAAAAGCTACCTCCTTTGTTGCGACGATCTTTTGTATTCTTAACGCTGACCTCTCGTTTTTGAAATCTTCCCATATGTATGTTGCCTGTTGGTCCTGTGTGCAGGAGAGACCAATGTATGGTCCAGATCAGTCCTGAGAGGCATCTGCCTTGGTATTGACCGTGTTTTGCGTGCTTCTTGAATCTGTATGTAAGCCAGTGGCAACTGAAGTCCGACCCCTTGGGCGGTGCGTTCACTTTCTGGTGGCCTCTATTTTGTAGTGCCACGAGGCCATGCCGGGTCTTTGCCATGCGAGCGCACCGCTCAGGGGGTCGGATTTCCATTGTGAGCACTGTAGCTCACAGGCAATTGGTACAATCCACGCCCAGTCAGAGGCTTGAACACTCTCGCCATGACTAGTCTTTTGGTGAAAATGTCTTCTATTCTGTCCCATCATGAGGAGGAAACCTCTTGTGAATGTTTTCGCGTTCCATGTGAACCGCCTGGCCTGTTGTTTCATTGCCTGCAGTCACAGTGTTCTGTGCGATACATACTCACATGTGTGCGATGCACATGTGTGCACGTGACGTACAAAAATGTATTATGTTCATGTACTAGTAGACGTGTGTGGGCTATGGGCATAGCTAGCTATAGCGTAGCCGGCCGCCCGGTATTATTCCCAGTGACAGTTAGGCTGCTGGTACAGTGTCTTGGTCTAGGGAAAATCAGGCCGGCCATCTGTTGCCAGAAGTGACAAATCTAGTATTGTGCAAATCTGACAGGGCGCGAAGTGCTATAAACAGGCGCTTGCCATTCCAGAATATTTCCTCAACCTGCGATGGCACGAAATCAAAGAACACAAAGTAGATTATGCCTGACGGCTGTCAGTAGCATGCATGCAAGACTCTGCAGGACATTATTATTCATAGTAAGGATTATACATGTACAGTCAACTTCGCATATAACGACACTCGGCGGCGGGGTATCAAAAAAGTGTCCTTATTCGCGAAGTGTCGTTATACCCGAAGTCTCATTATATTGTACTACTGTTGGATGGGACTTTGCTCTGGGCATGGACATTCTGTCGTTATTCGCGAATTGTCGTTATATCCGCAGTCGTTATTAGCGAAGTTGACTGTACATGCATATCTAAAGACGAGTAATTCCACATCTACCCAGAGAACAGAGAGAACAAGACAAGTGATTATCACATTTGAGCACTCTGGAAACGTACGTTTGGGCCTGGTTGAAGTCTGCCTTTGGAAATTATATTTTCATTGCTATCAGGTGCTATCAGGTTCGGCCTCATTTTCTCTGTGCAGCGCTGATGAGTTCACAAAGAACGAAACAGCATGCTCTCCGCAGATTGAGTTCACATGAAGTACACGTGTACATGTGGATCTACGTCAAATACGCGAAGCCGGTAGAGAACACAGCATCGACAGCATTCTTTACGAAAACGAAATACGCCGTAATGGAGTCTGGTATACCCGTCTTTCCCTTTCTCTTCCCATACTCCCGCCACGTCAGTATCGCACGTCTTTTAACGTACCTGTCCTGTGATTTTTGACATAGGAAAAGTCGCTTTTACGGGCCACAACCGCGCGATTCCAATGGATTAGTGCGATGGAAAACTGATGAAGGAATCAGGAAGTCGTGCGAACAAGTCTTCAAGTTCTGAGGCTTATATTGATTGATTTATCCTAGAAAGTTGAAGCTGCGACGAACTTGGCCATTTGAAAATGTTGTTGGAAACATTCCACCACTCCTGACTACGCTCTTGGCCCACATTCACAACACCGTAAGGAGGAAATACATGTACTCCGTTCCTGGTTAAGATGTTGTATATCCTCTAGTCTATAGACAGCTGTTTCGCTCATTCAAGTCATTGAGAGCACGTCAGTGGAGGTACATGTCATATACATGTACATGTACATGTACATGTACATGTATAATGTATGTACACATGTATAATAACGAATGAATAGTAGATAAAGGGATGAATCTACATTGTTCATTGTATTTCGATAGGGTTAACGTGGCATCCTTTCCACAGTAGAAAAGTGGCATGCCCAAAGAAGGTGAAGGTGACCAAAGTTCCGAGTGGCGTTGCCGAAACGCTAAGTGATGCTGCGACATGCATACATGTAGTACACAATGCCTATGGTATGGCCCTAGAATCTAGACACGCGCACGAAGAAGAGAATCTATCTAGCAGAAGTTCGCACTAACGCTGCCACAAATGCCGGAACATTCATAATGATAGACTGACATTACTGGACCCATAGTTACGAGATGACGAGGTCACAAACCGACCTCTTCTAACCATGTACATGTACATGTACTTGCATCATCCTTTGCATCGCCAACATGTGGAACATCAGCTACAGGCTACAGGACCCCATTTGCAGTTATTATAATATCCATGTACATCTACATGTGTATTGTACAGTATCAATAAAATGGTTGTCAACTGACAACCGCTCTTCTGACGATGGGTGAATAGCAAGTAAAGAGAGCGGTTGTCAGTTGACAAACCCCATCTACAGTATGGGGTTGCGTGATGTCCACCACTTTTTGAATGTACATTTTTGTACATGTACATGTATAACCAAATGCATGTACAGATACACTGTACATGTACAAGGTGAGCATCTTACACACACACCATCTTCAATCCAATTGGTCTCTTCGCGGCAAATTATAACACTTCTCAATTGAATTTTCGGCCAGAAGCCATCATTAGGATCCTGATGATGGCTCCTGGGCGAAAATTTGATTGAGAAGTGTTTTAATTTTGATCCTGATGATGGCTCCTGGTCGAAAATTTGATTGAGAAGTGTCATAATTTGCAGCGAAGAGACCAATTGGATTGAAGATGGTGTGTGTGTAAGATTAATTCTAATGAAATGGCTGCAGTGGAGCTTGCGCACATTTTAAAAGAATTGTACGTGAGCATTTCAAATAATTATAGTTCAAATGCCTTGGAATGTCTCAGTATTCCTCACCAGTTTTGTGCTAAATATTTTCGCACAAGAGAAGTACTGTAGGGATCGGCAGATTCTGCTCGAAAAGCAGTGAAATTGGCAGAACCATACAAACCTTATGGCGGGCAATTCCTCGATTTCTGCTCCATTTCTTTATATCCACATACAAACATGCATGAAACTTACCAGAAAAAGTACCGAATTCTGCCAATTTATCTGCCGACAGAATCCGCCAGACCCTAAAGTACATGTACTGCCGAAATTCAAATTGTTGTGCACGCCGAATCAAGATCTGATCTGCTTGATCGACTCTGACGCATCGGCACTGCATGTTCTTACTTGTGTGGATTGGGTCGCTGCTGACACCTTTTCTTTCGAAATTGGATACGCCTGGAATTTTCTCCTTACTATTATTTAAATAAGACAGTCTTTACTAGTCTTTACTAGTCAGCTACCGGTAGTCACAAGAAGAAGTCCATTGTTCTTCACTGTTTCGGGGCTGAGATTGTGAATGCGAGGGTGGCACTACTGCCCACTTGACACTTCCGTGGAATGGAAACAACACGTGGACGTGCACGTGCGCAGAATGAACCAGCTAGTACAGAAGCCGTCTTCATTTCTAAGTATAGTAGCTCAACCATTCAAAACCTGCGGACATGCAAGCATGGATACCCAAGAACTAATACTTTCTTGGCAGAAGGCTGAACTAGAAGAACAATGGGTGAATACGCCAGTTTCGTAGCGTAGTTCCTTCCGTGAAACGACTGGTGTCAGGATTCACGTTCACCTCTGAGACTGAGACTGAACGGCTGTTGGTAGCTGCTTCATGCGATCGTGCTGCGTCTTGCCGGACGCTGTTTCGGAACGAGGCCAACAACTAGTACTTGATGCAGACTCGAATTGCGTTCATAACGGTCGACATCTCTGTGATAAAAATCACTCAGTCATTTCTAGTTTGAGTTTATTTTTCAATCCATTCAAGATCTAGAAGCCGATCAATAAATTTTGTGAGTTCGCAGTCTACTGAGAACTAAAGACTGGAGTGATGGCGTCTGCTCCTGCTGTGTGCGCTGTGGCGAAGCCGGAGAGCATCGATGGGATGCGTGTCAGTCGACGGGTGCGCTGCATTCAGATCGAGTCGGTGGGCCGTATCACGCTGGACGTGGTCGAGCGAGGCCTGGACGGCTGGAGAGAGGAGACAGTTATCTTGGCCGTAGTGTGCATCCGCGAGGATACGTTCCTAGAGGGTGGCGGAGGGCAGATTGCTGATCGCATCCTTGAGACCAAGGAGCTCCATGAAAGGGCCTATTGCATCGAGTCGCTGACACCTCAGGGCACAAGCATGACCGTGTTCCGTTTGGCGACAAGCCTCTCCTCAGAAATCTCTGGCGGTGAGTTGCGAAGTTTGTATGCACATTGTCACCGTACTTCAATACTGTATGGCAGGAAATTTTCAGATGGGAATATTCTCGGGCAAAGCAGCATTTCGACCTTTTGTACAGATTTTATTTTCGTACAATGAAAAAAAGGTAAATTATCGTGTCCGTTCCCGGAGGGAACTCAATGTTCTTTCCCGGAGGGAACTCACGGCGGCCGCTAATACCTTGTAAACCATAGCGGCAGGTGCAGCGCCTAACGGTGGGGTTGAGTGGATAAGTCTCACAACCACTGGCACAAGCGCCGAGAAACCCCATTAGGCGCATCCATGTATCCATGTACCCCATTGTGCCTCATGTACCCCATTGTGCCTCATGTACCTTGTGCCCCTGTGCCTTGTCCCTGTGCCTTGTCCCTGTGCCTCTGTGCGCTGTGCCTTGTGCCTTTTCGTACAGTGCTGCATGCTAAATGCAGGTGTTTGCATGCAGTATGCACGTGCCAAGGCGCATTGCATGCGCATTATGGCTAGCTAGCTGCCCTGAACTGGAGCCAGTTACTGTTTAGTGACATGACCAGATTTAGTCTCAGCACTGACTGCATTGACTGCATGCAGACAACATGAAAGAGTAGTACAAATCTCGCTCGTGACGTCAATCACCTAGCCCGCACCGCTGTTTTATGCGTTGTGTGACTGCAATTAATTCAATTTAATGTCTCAGAAATCAGCAGCGAAAACTCAGAGCGAGGTGCGAAAGTGTGGTGTCGCAAAAATACAGGTGGAACCGGGCCCGTAAAGCGATCTAGACCCTGCCTACGCCAGACGCTAAAAACGTAACACAGCTTTGGGAACATATGTTGGATACAGTAGAAGGTTTATGCGCTATATGATATCCTGCACCCTATATAAGGTTCATCGGTCTAAAATGTCCACTACAGGGTTCAGGAGTCCGTTCAGTTTTAATCAAATTTATCTGGCCGCGCAATCCCCCCTAAAAGGAGTACCCTTTTTTCTGCAAGTCCCCTAACATATATTACACACATACACACACATATGCGTACATTACGTGCCGTATTTCCCCGACTATACGACTGGCCCCCAGTTTCACGGCTGAGCAAATTGTTAGTTAAATAAACGAGAGAGCTTGGAAGCTCAGGGCCCTACGCTATGCTTTTTTGCCTTGATAACCTAGACAAAAAAAGCATAGAGATGTTATAAATTCTTATTAGTTTCAACTTTTTGTTTTAGATATAACCTGGGATTCGAACCCGCACTATCGCCCTGCATGCATCCCCCGATACACTTCGCATACATACTAATTCTTCCAAGTTGCTATGATCTTGTATTTGAAAGCCCTATTTGAATATGCATTGTGGCCAGCCGTCTTTGATTGTACGGTACGGGATAGGTACGGGACATGTACGGGACAGGTACGGGACAGGTACGGTCGAGGGTAATACAACACCGTCTACCGCCTTGATGACGGCAAAAAAAGAAAAGGGATGTTATGAATTTTTCAATTCTCCTATTTTTTCAGGCATTACCTGGGATTCGAACCCGCACTATCGCCCTACATGCATTCCCCCATACACTTCGCATTCATAATCATTCTTCCAAGTTGCTACACGTTATGATCTTGCGTTTGAAAGCCCTATTTGAATATTGCGGCCAGCTGTATGTGGCTAGCTGTGTTTGATGGTACGGTACGGTACGGGACAGATACGGGATAGCGCCAGGCGTGACACAAACACACAAACACACAAACAAACAAACACCAAATTAAAGCTGTGTGGACCCTGGCTAGCGCTAGACGTTACTGAAGTAACGTCTTCTGCATAGCTACGGGAATAAGATATAAATAGGAAGTGACGCTCGGTTGTAAGTCCCAACCCATTCTTTCACATTGAAATTTGTTGTACAAAGGTGCGACTTGCATTCGTGAAAATAGTGTATGCATGCAAGTGTGTGTGTGTGTGTGTGTGTGTGTGTGTGTGTGTGTGTGTGCGCGCGCGCGCATGTGTGTATGTGCATATGTGCGTGTGTGTGCATGCCCCTAGAAACGAGTGTGGGGAGAGGGGAGGGTAGGGACGTTACCAGTGTATGGCATTGATCAAGTAATGTATATGTGGGCGTCTGTTTTGTGTTTTTCGGTGTTTCGGTGTGAGTATCTGGTTTTGTGTTCTTCAGAGTGGGTCTGTCAGTGTCTGTACGTTTGGGTGTGTATGGGTGTGTAACCATTCCTGTGTCTGCCTGTGTGTACAAATCATTCGAGCATTCGTTTTCGAGTTGTCCTTGGTTTGCTGGACTAGGCCTGGATCTCAGCTGTTTTGCTCATTCCTATGGTTTGACAGTTTCGGCAGCAATGGTCTGCAGGATCTATTGTCTGGAGTAGAAACTTTTTCTGCACCATCAACCAGGTTCATCTGAATCTAGTGTTTGTCAGTTTCCATTGCTGGGCAGTGCTTCAGCTAGTGTACTTTGATATGGTGAAGAAGCATGAACAACTATCTGGAAAATCAGAAAACACAGGAATGCTCCGACCCACCCGCTTTCAAATCAATCAATTATGTTCTGGTGGTCACAGTTCAAATGTAAATGCTTTCTTCGTTTCCTGTTGTTGTTGTTGTTGTTGTTGTTGTTGTTGTTGTTGTTGTTGTTGTTGTTGTTGTTGTTGTTGTTGTTGTTGTTGTTGTTGTTGTTGTTGTTGTTGTTGTTGTTGTTGTTGTTGTCGTCGTCGTCGTCGTCGTCGGCATTGATTTTGCCATGTGTGTAGAGCTTTACAACACACAAGACAAGAAGGACTTTGCCCTTGTCGCAAATTATCAAAGAAGTAAGTCAAATTGGTGCATTTGGGGGTTTTCACGCAAAAAATCTCTCGGGCGTGTGTATTCTTTACATACTGTTTTCATCGATGTGTAGCTGTAGTTGAAAATGACAATTCAGCGGGAATGCTTGGCATTGGCATTGTTCTTGCTGGATGTCCATGTAGTACTTCATGCTTACTGACCAAATTCTCAAAGAGTTTCCCCAATGGCTCGATGTTTATAATACTCGTTTATCTCCTTTTGTCTTTATCGCTCAGCGTTCCTTGTAATAAATGCCCTCCCAAACTTTAGTGTTTGAAACACTAGTAAACTTGATGACCCTCTGTGACCCCACTGAAAGTACGACAATTTACTCAATTTCAAATAACATGCACTTTCGCTTGTACATTGTATCTCTACCAAACATTCACCGATTTTTACAAATTAGCCGCCGCTTGAATAGTATTTCCAAGGCAAAGCGATTTATACCACACTCAAGCCAGCTACCTCCACGGCCTCTCCTCTGCGTGGCCTAGAACGCCGCTCAAAACAGCACCCGTGCGCGAACAGCTCCAGCAAAGTTCAAACAGCCGCCATTCCATTCTCCTTCATCATATCGACTTCAAACAAACTACAGCCGAAAGCTCGTTTCAAGCGCACAATTTTGGTGTCCAGCATGCTTCAGTATGACGAAGCATTCTGGGGAAATTCCCCGCCAAGCGCAGCATGAAATTTTGAAATTTTCGATCGGAGGGAATTTTTCAGTTTTGCACAGACTTCGAGTCTCACCACGGCAACATTGTACCTCCTGTAGACGTCGGATACCTTCGACGTGATAGCCAAGGTGACTCTCGAAACGTAGATGCTTTGTTCATGAAAATCGGTGAAGGAACACCAGAGAAGTATTTTTTTTAGTTCCACTGTATAGCAATCGTTCGATATCGATTGATGGGGTTACAAAGTGTTAGCTCTCCTATCCGGAACTTGAAGATAAGGTCACCGCGTTCTGATGGATTCCATTCAGACCAGTTACAGTTGAACTATTCCTACCCATTGGCCACTTTTTGTTGAACTAGTGAGGTCATATGCCCATCAAGATGTATGCGATTCAAAGTTACAGTCATTTCGAAATGACACGCAATGCCTTATCCCGGACTCCACGGCTAAACAAGATAGGAGTATAATTCTTTTTTAGACGTTCAATATAGAGATGGATTGCTCACAGAGTTAAGAGTAAAATCTCCACAAAGCTGTTTGTCTCTAGGGGCACAAATATTGATATTTTAGTGCATTCTGTACATTTTGTCCAGGTGCTGTTGGAACGAACAAAGAAGAAGATGAGTCCGATCAGATCAAGGAGAGCGGACTATTCGCAATATTTAACTGGCCCGGGCACGAGCCGCTCACAACGCCCGACGGAGCTTTGATCTCCAGAGATCCTGGATCGATGTCGTCGCTGACACGCATCGTTATCCAGCAGGTGAACTACAGCAAGGAGACGGATCTGTTCTTACTGCACAACGCGTTCCTCGGTCTGCGCCCGGTGACGGTGAAGAAGCCGATGAGCGCCGACACGGAGCTCGGCGGCATCATGATGCAGCCTGCCATGGTCTCGCTGGATGGGCCCGCAAACACGCAGACCACCATCGCCGCCATGGGGAATCCCCTGTGCCACTGGCACGTGCACAACGACTTCCCGACGCGCTCCAACTTCAAGCTCTACCCGTCGTTCAGCGACAGCGTTGTCCTGTGTCGCCAGGCTGGCGCGGCAAGTAAGCTGGTGTTGTGCGAAGAGAGTGCTGCAAAGGAAGGCACCGCTCTCTTCAGTGTCCGCCAGCCCTATGTGAACTGACAAGCATTTTTGAAGAATAACTTGGCGCCGATAATATTTATAAATCCTCATACGGATTTGCGATGTGCACATCTTATGCCGCCTCTCCACACATAGTGTAGTAGATTTTATCTGCAGAGAAACGCCGATGTTTCCACCTAGCATAGCAAGCCTTTGTGATTCAGATATCTGCTGGCACTTTAATTTCGTTCAATCCCCCGTCCCTTTGATTTCGATTTTGGCCGAAGAGTATACGCAAACATGATGAGAGGTAATGGTCGAGACGTCATTCCTTGAACCATTCCCAGGTGTGCGGTTGTGCTGTAGTTGCATGATAATACACACATCAAGTGCCACTCTGACTCATTTTCTACTACCACTATTACACTCATGCTCACACTATTAGTACACACATGGACACGCACGCACGTGAGCACCCACCCACACACACACACACACACACACACACACACACACACACACACACACACACACACACACACACACACACACACACACACACACACACACACACACACACACACACACACACACACACACACATACACACACACACACACACACACACGCACACATAAATATACAAAAATATGCACAAACATTTGCCAGACATCGATGTGACATGGTGGTAGGGAAATACATGCCTCACATCTTTCTCTATGTTTCTCTCTCTCCCCCTCTATCTCTCTCTCTCTCTCTCTCTCTCTCTCTCTCTCTCTTTCTCTCTCTCTCTCTCTCTCTCTCTCTCTCTCTCTCTCTCTCTCTCTCTCTCTCTCTCTCTCTCTCTCTCTCTCTCTCTCTCTCTCTCTCTCTTTCTCTCTCTCTCTCTCTCTCTCTCTCTCTCTCTCTCTCTCTCTCTCTCTCTCTCTCTCTCTCTCTCTCTCTCTCTCTCTCCTCTCTCTCTCTCTCTCTCTCTCACTCTCTCTCTCTCTCTCTCTCTCTCTCTCTCTCTCTCTCTCTCTCTCTCTCTCTCTCTCTCTCTCTCTCTCTCTCTCTCTCTCTCTCTCTCTCTCTCTCACTCACACTTGCGGACGATAGTGGGGTTTTCTTTGTGCCTTTGTTTCTGTCCCTCTGTCTGTTACTGTCTCTACGACTGTCTATCTCTATCCTGTTGACCCATAATCATTTGGATACAGGGAGGTTATTCGAATGAGATGAGAACATTATTCGTCGTGCGGAGCGTCAAATACACCAACAATGCTTTTGAAGTTATGGTCATATCTAAAATAGGTACCGCCGCTTTGCCAAAGAGCATACGGAGTGTCTCATTCTAATATTTCACTTCAAATGTTTACTAGTATGTCATTCTGTGTCGCCCGCGGACATAACTGGTCAGCAGATGTAGAGATCTGTATCAGGGACAGAAAGGAGAAGGGAAGATTTCCAAGGTACGCCTACAGCCTGCATATCAGCATACAATGTATGCATGGGCAGGTCTCCTGACAATCTAATGACACTAAGTCTTGCACTGCTTCTTGCTGATGCAGCAGGGTACATCGTGCAGCAACGTGCATAACACACTCAAGCCCCTGTTGCCTGGGCAGTTGACATCATAGACGAGAACAAAGTGTCTGAGTGAGTGGCCGGTGTCAACAACGTGAAGGTGATCTTTCTGGCCCAGCTACTGGGGATGAACAGGTGAAGTGCAGACCAAAACACAGGGACCGTGATGGCCTTTATCTGATGGTCATGAAAAGAAAACAACTCCAGTCCGGTAGCCATCGATAGTGACATGATAATGGAGATGTGGTTCTTACTCAGCAAAGCTTCTCCGCCTCTGCACACTTCTTTGCCTTTGACATATCGCTCACGAGTCACGAGACAGGAGCGGCCTCGCGAGAACATATCAACTGGGTGATAAGAGCTGAAAGGGGCGTTGGTCCGGGCTGTCACCGACAGGGATTAGAAGTATTCCCCTTTTTCAACCACGTCCCTAGAGAACTCAAGTTGAAGAGCGTAGATTTTCCGCGGCGCGCGACAATTGAACGAAGAGAAAGTCTGTGCACTTGCTCTTCTCCGACCTCTTCAGAAAACACTACAAAGCTCATAACGGTATTATAACTCAGTCCTCGTACATGTACATGTGCTGCAATTTGTTTGGCCAAACGTGTATCGCCGCACATACACATGTACATGACCATGACGATTGTACATTTCGCATGAGTCATCACGTTGAGATCCATGGAAGCTACTTCTTACGTGCTTGTATGCAAGTAAGGCAAGAACATTATGCTTTGATTGCTGTGGCAAATGCACAAAATTGCTTTTGCAGGTATGATGATAGACACTATACCCCAGTTTTGCCGAAGAGCATAATTATGCTGTATCTCATCCCAGTAAAAAGTAAAAGTAAATTATCGTATCCGTTCCCGAAGGGAACTCACGACGGCCGCTAACACCCGATAAACCCTTCATCCCAGTATTACACCTTAAAATGTTCTGGCCAATCTGTGTTGCCCGCGGACATAACTCACCATCAGGTGTAGAGATCTGTATCAGTGAAGGACA